TGGTTGGGACCCTGGGACTGCCCCACTATGGAGGACCCCCCTTCCCAGTGGTCACAGCTTGGAGATAGAATGAACTTGGGGGACAACAGAACGGAGAAGACGCTTGACTACGTTTATTGGGCCTCTGAAGCTTTAAATACAGGCCTGGGGGGGCAGGACAGAGGGGTCACGTTCAGCTGTTGTGGGGCCCAAGGTGGGGGGGGCTGCAGACAACCCCAATCCCGACATTCCCAGGGCATGGAGCTGTGGTCACCACCTTGGCTGCCCTGGCCTCCGGGGCAATGGGACGGGACAAGGGGATGGATGGATGGATGGATGGATGGATGGATGGATGGATGGATGGATGGATGGATGGATGATGGAGGGGTGATGGAGCGGTGGGTGAATGGAAGGGGGACATTGGTATGGGGTTGCTGGGGGGCTGCAGCCCCCCTGGAGCATCCCTCAGCGGCTGTAGCCGAACTCATCTGCGTCGTCTGCGCGGAAATCTCCGTAGCGCCAGAGGTTGAGCTGCAAGAGAGTGGATGGGATGGGACCATGGCCAGAGGAACCCCTGGAGACGGGTGTGTCACATCCAGCATCACTGCAGAGATGGGGTCTGCATCCAGCATCTCCTTGGAGATGGGGTACCACATCCAGGATCTGCCTGGAGATGGGGCAGCTGCAGCCAGCATCTCTCTAAGGTTGTGGGTACCACATCCAGAGGAGCCCGGAGAAGGGGGCTACACCCCATTGCATCCCTGGAGATGGGGGTATCACATCCAGCATCTCCTCGGAAATGGGGTACCACATACAGGATCTCCTTTGAGATGTGGGTACCACATCCAGGATCACCCCAGAGATGGGGGGCTGCATTCAGCATCTCCCTGGAAATGGGAGTACCACAGCCAGCACCTCCCTGGAGATGGGGGTACCACATCCAGGATCTGCCAGAGATATGGGTATCACATCAAGTATCATATCAAAGAAAGATGGTAGCACCACATCCAGAATCTTCCGGAGATGTGGGTAACACAATTAATGATCACCCCAGGAGCATTGGTATGACATCCAACATCTCCCCTTGAGTTGGGTGGCACCACCTCAGCACCCCAGTACAAGGTCCCCCTCCCACCCCCTAACTCACCCGGGCGCTTTTGGCCGTCTCCTGTGCGTTCAGGTACTCAGTGATCTGTGGGGACACAGGACCAGGGGGTGAACCCACATCCTCTCCTTGGCAGGTTTGGTGCCCCCCCCCAAGCTTTCTGACCACCCATGGCTGTGGTGGGGACCCTCCTCGAGCCCTCCATCACCTACCACTTTCTGGAACTGCTTCTCCTTGCGCACCTCGACCATGACCAGCCCCTCCTTGACTAGCCCCAGCCCCACGTCACTCTTGGAGTCAGCAAACTGGAGGGTGACGTGGGGACAGCCGGGCCCCAGGTGCTCCACGTTGAGCAGGCACTGGGTGTTCTGGATGTCCCTGACCACGCTGTCCACCGCGTCCGCCCGGGCGTCATCCTGTGGGGCATCGGGCATCAGGCCCTGAGGTGCCACCTGGGACCTGGAGCCCATCAGCACCACCCAGACCCCCCCAAACTCACATCCTGGGGCACCTGGATGAAGGCGAACTTGTACTCGGTGGCTTGTGCTGGGAGCACGCGGGTGCTGAAGGCGGGGGGAAGCGCGGCCAAGCGGGTGGCGGGCAGTGTCTCCTTCTGCGGGGCGACAAGAGAGAATGGGGCATCCATGGGTGCTGGGGCACAGCAATGGGCGCCCCGGTGTTGGGAGACTACTTGAGGGTGATGGGTACCCGGTGATGGGATCCGCAGTGTTGGGGTTGGAAGAGCAGCCAAGGGTGATGGGCATCAAGGGGTGGGATTGGGAGGGCACCCAAGGGTGCTGGGCACTTCATGATGGGCTCCCAGACATGGTTTTGGTAGGGCACCCAAGGTGCTGGGCTCCCCATGCTGGTATCCCCAGTGCCAGGGTTAGGATGCCACCCAAAGGTGCTGGCCATCTCCTGGTGCGCATTCAGGGGTGTGGTTGGGAGGGCACCCAAGGGTTCTGGGTACTCTGGTTCCAGTGCTGAGAAAACACCCAAGGATGCTAGACACCCTCTAATGGGATCCCAATGCCAGGGTTGGGAGGGCACCTGAGGGTGCTGGACATCAGTGATGGGATCCCCATTGCTGGGGTTAGACGAGCATCCAGGGTGCTGGGTACCCTGATGCCAGGGTTAGGAGGTCACCCAAGGGTGCTGGACACCTTCAGCCAGGCTGAGGGTCACAGCCAGCCCCCCTCCAACACATCTGGGGCTGGCATGCCCCAGTTGTCACTCCAGGGTGCCTCCCACCCACAGCCCCCATCACACCAAGCACTTACGTTGCCATAGTCAATGTAGAAGATGTGGACCTTGGCGGCAGACTCCACCTTCTCCACCCGGGCCCGGTACCTGGATGGGATGGGGATGGTGTCACCCCACAACCACCCCTTGGCGTGGGGCAATCACATCCCACACTGGGACTGGGGGGACCAGGACCTCTCCTCACCATTCTCCATCCACAAACTTGGCGATGCAGAAGTCACCCCGACGAGGGGCGTAGGAGCCCTCCACTGGCGGGTGGCTGCCCACCTCTGTGCGCATATTCTCCATCAGCTTCTCCAGTTGGGCACCTGTGGGTTGGGGACCTCATCCAGCACCTGCTCTGGCCACCCCTAGGGCTGGGGGGCCCAGGGGTGAGCCCCTCACCAACTGATGTCAAGTGGGGTTCAGGTTGAGGGTCTGGGGCCACCTTTGGGCCCTGGGGGTAGGGTTCAAGATTGGGACCCAGGGCCGAGAGGTGGAAGCCTCGGTGCAAGGGCTGAGGTTTAAGGTCAGGGGCACGTTTGGGCACTGCAGGGGGTGATGGGGACCCAGGGCCGTGCCCGTACCCGTCTCCACGTCCTGCACATAGAAGTGGAGGTCGTCCGTGATCTCTGTCACGAACACGGGTTTGTAGTTGGCCGTGCGCTCCTTCTCCTCCAGCACCGGCACCACCTCCTCCACTGGCGCCTCCTCGTAGTGGGACCACACCTGGCAATGGGGACACACACAGTGGTTGGGGACACCATGGGCACGGTTGATGCCACTGGCAAGCGGATGATGGATGTGGTGGCATCCAGGATCCTGTGTGCCAATGGTGGGGACAACACCTGGCATGGGGACATCACTTGGGGTAAGGATGTCTCATGGGGTAGGGGATATCTCTTGGGGTAAAGACATTCCTTGGGGTGAGGACAACTCCTGGGGGGAACATCCCTTAGGGTTGGGACATCTCTTGGTATGGGGACATCCCTTGGGGTGAGGACAACTCTTAGACATGGGGTGAGGACATCTCTTGGGGTAGGGACATCCCTTGGCACGGGGACATTCCTTGGGGTGAGCACAACCCTTGGGGTGGGAATGTCCCTTGCAGTGCAGACATCTTTTGGCATGGTGTCATCTAGTGGCATGGGGACATACACTGGGGTGGGAATGTTCCATGGGTTGGAGATATCTCTTGGGGTGGGGACATTCCTTGTCACGGGGACAACCCTTGGGGTGGGGACTCTTGGAGTGGGGACACCTCTTGTCATGGGGACATCTCTTGAAAACAGGACATCCCTTGGGGTGGAGACATCCCTTGGGATGGGAATGTCTTTTGGCATGGGGACATCTCTTGGCATGTCCCTTAAGGTGGGGACATCTCCTCTTGGACTGGGGGCAGCCCTTGGGGTGGGGACACCTCTTGGGGTAGGAACATCCCTTGGCCTAGGAACACCCCTGGTGTTGGTGACAGCCCCAGGGATGGGCCCACCCCATGCTCACCTTCTCCTTCTTCTGCTTGGCGGCCTCCTCTGCCGCCAGCAGTGCCTTGTAGTAGGGGCTGCGCTCGGCAGTGAAGTGCACCTTGGAGAGCGCGTGCTCCACGAGCGCCACCGACAGGTTCAGCCCCTCTGTGTGCAGCCACCCGATGAAGTTCCCGGCCTTGTCCATGCTCTCCACCTCCACCTCAACCTGTGGGAGGCCAAGGGGCACCCTCAGCGCTGGCTGGGACCCAGCCACCACCCATCCCCACCAGCCTTTGGTCACACGTGCTCCTCTTCATCATGGAGGCTCCAACCCGCGTCGATGAAGCAATGGATGGATATAATGGGGCTTGACATGCGCTGGGTGGGTGCCTGGCCAAAAGCCACCCTCCATCAGCACCCATGTCTGATCCATGGCATGTAAGCCCCAGATGTGCGCCATGAGCACCCTCATCTGATCCATGGCACCCAGAGGTGCTCCAGGGCACCCAGCTCCAAGCCATCAGCACCTGGGTGTGATTCATGAGCACCCAGACTGGCTCCATCAGCACCCAGCTCTGCTCTTGGGCACGCAGCTCCGATCCACCAGCACCCAGATGTGCTCCATCTGCTCTGATGTGCTCCATAAGAGTACTCAGATGTGTTCCTAGGCACCCAGCTGACGGCAGGAACACCCCAGCCTCTGTGTCTGGAGCTCCCTGCCTGCTCTGGGCAGCACTGGCAGTACTGGGAGCACTGGGGAGCCCTGGGTAGCACTGGGAGCACCAGGTAGCACTGGGCAGCACTGGGAGCACTGGGAACATCAGGTAGCATTGGGAGCACTGGGGAGCCCTGGGTAGCACTGGGAGCACCAGGTAGCACTGGGCAGCACTGGGAGCACTGGGAACATCAGGTAGCATTGGGAGCACTGGGTAGCACTGGGAGTGCTGGGCAGAACCCAGGATCGAAGGCGTGACCAAGGGCCATGGTGGCTCTTGTGCCTGTACCATGGGCTGGTCCTGTGGCTCTGCACCAGGGAAAGGGTCAGGAGCCCACCTGGCCCCCCTGGCACAGTGGAGGTGCAAATCAGTGAGCAAACTGGGGTGCAGCCCAGAGGGTGAACCAGTATGTAAAAGGGAGTGCACAAACCAGAGACGAAACTGAAGTGTGCAAAGCCAGTGAGCGCAAACTGGAGTGTCCTGGGTGCACCCCCATTAAACCTGGGGGCCTACAGCCCCCCAGTGCTTCAGGGGTGGACAGGCAGGAGACACACACAGGCAGGAGATACTGTAAAGGCAGATGATGAAGGCAGGAAGTGCAGGCAGGAAATGCTGTAGAGGCAGAGGATGAAGGCAGGAGATGCTGTGCAGGCAGTAGATGCTGTGCAGGCAGGAGATGGCGTGCAGGCAGGAGATAGCCATACAGGCAGGAGATGCTGTACAGGCAGAGGATAAAAGCAGGAGATGCAGGCAGGAGATGCTGTGCAGGCAGGAGATGCCATGCAGGCAGGAGATGCTGTACAGGCAGAGGATAAAAGCAGAAGATGCAGGCAGGAGATGCTGTGCAGGCAGTAGATGCCATGAAGGCAGGAGATCCTGTACAGGCAGAGGATAAAAGCAGGAGATGCAGGCAAGAGACACTGTGCAGGCAGTAGATGCCATGCAGGCAAGAGATACTGTGCAGGCAGGAGATGCTGTGCAGGCAGGAGATGCTGTGCAGGCAGGAGATGCCATACAGACAGGAGATGCAGGCAAGAGATGCAGGCAGAACATGCTGCAGCTGAAGCACCCAGACCCAGCCATGCCTAGCACCCCAGTGGGTGACCCCTCTCCTGCCTCCCACCCCACAAGTGTCCCCTCATGAAGTCTGGGGCCAGGGGCCGCACTTGGGCCCACATAAAGCCCCTTGGAGAGCACCCACAGGTGCCCAAATGCATGGAGCAGCTCCTGCCGGCACTACCGGACCGTCCCATCCCTGCTCTGGGAGGTCTCAGCCCCAGTCCCAGGTGGGTCCCAACCCACTCCTGGGGGGGTCCGAGCCCCACTTCTGGGATACCTCCATCATCTCCCTCTCCCCTCCCTCACTGCTAGTCTGGGGGGGAGGTGCGGGGGGGGGGGGCAGCACCCCCCCCAGCACCTCAGACTGCCCCCACCTTGCAGCACCCATGGGACCCTGGGGACCCTAGAGGTTCATTAACTGCCCAGCACTAATCACCCACCCCACAGTGCCTGGGGGAGGACGGTCAAAGCAGTGTCAAACACACCCCCCCCCCCTTCATCGGTACCCACATGCCCATCACTGCAGTATTGTGCCCATGGCAGAGCCGTTCCCCCCCCCCCCCCATTTATTGTCCCCTCCATCGGTGTCCCAGCTTGCATCTGGTCTCAGCCTTGAGCCCGGTGGAAAAGGAGGGTCCAGGGATGGCGGGGGGGGGATGTGAGGTGTGTGTGTCAGGGATCGAGGGGGGATTGGGGGGGGGGGGGGCGGTTTGCCACGGATGGAGCCGCGTGTCTGTGTCTCCCCCACCCTCCCATCACCTTAAAGCTGCCGGCTCCGTGCATCCGTCCATCGGTCCTTGTGTCCGAGGGGGGTCAGGGCCACCGGGCTCGGTTGGGTGGGCAGGAGGAGGAGGGAGGAGGAAGCCCATCATCCCGCATCATCCTCCATCCAGAGTGGAAAATAGCTCCCACCCGCCGCACCGGCTGCACCGGGGCCGGTCGGGGCCCCCTCCGGAACGTTGTGGGGGGGTGGGGGGTGGTGGGAGGGGGGGGGTCCCGGTAGATGCGGGGTAAGGGGGGGGTGTAGTCCATCGGTGCTTGCGGAGCATCCCCCGCCGCTCCCGGGCTCCCGGCGCGATGCGTCAGCAGCCGCGTTGCCGTTGAAGGACAAAAGGATGAGCCAGCCGCCTGCGCGGCTCCCGCCCGCACCGAGCCCCGCACCGAGCCCCGCACCGAGCCCGGCACCGATACCGGTATCGAGCCCCGCACCGAGCCCCGCACCGAGCCCCGCACCGAGCCCAGCATTGAGCTCTGCACCGAGCCCCGCACCCAGCTCCGCACCGGGCACCGCACCGAGCCCCACACAGATCCCGGCATCGATACCGGCACCGATACCGGCACCGAGACCAGCACTGAACCCGGCACCGGGCCCCGCACAGATACGGGCACCGGGCATCGCACCGGGCACCGCACCGAGCCCCGCATCGAGCCCGGCCCCGAACCCGGCCCCGAGCCCCGCACCGGGCCCCGCAGTCGCCAGCACCGGAGCACGATGCCCGCCGGCCCCGGGGCCGCCGCCTCCGCCCCGCCCGGGAGAACCGGAGCCAGCGGCTACTGATCGCGGATGCGGGAAGGAATCGCGACGGGAACCGGAACGGGAACAGGAACGGGACCCTCCAGCCGGAGACGCCGCAAAGCACCCGCGACAGAAGCACCCCCCTCCGCACCCCCCATCCCGGAGCGACCCCCCCCGCCGCCGGTGACCGCGCTCCTGCCCCTCCGCCGGGGGCCGGCAGCGACCGGAGCCTCCGGTTTTGTACCGGCCTGAGCGTTTATCGTCATTTTTAATCCCTTTTTCTCCCCCATTTGGATCGCTCGGGGCTTATTTTAGTTTGAGCTTTGGTCCGAGTTCTATTTTTATTCTTTATTTTTAGCCTTTATTTTAAGCCTTTATTTTTATTGTGTTCGAATCCTTTGGCTTGGTTTGATTTTCATTTTTATCTCGTTCTTTATTTTTATTTAATTTCATTTTTATTTTTATTTAATTTTATTTTTATTTAATTTTATTTTTATTCCTTATTTTAGATTTTATTTTTATTATTTTTTCTATTTCTCTTGTTATTTTAATCGTTCCTTTTTCCAGTTTTATTCCTTATTTTCCTTTTATAATTTTTTATTTTTAACCGTTTCTTTCATTTTTCTTTATTTCTATTTTTTCTTTTCCTCTTTTTTGTATTTATTCTTTCATTTTTTCGTTTATTTTTCTTTCAGTCTTTATTTTTCCTTTAAATTTTTATTTTTATTGATATTTTTATTTTCATTTTTTATCTTAATTTCTATTTTTAATTTTTATTCTTATTTTTTTATTCTTATTTTTATATTTTTCTTTTCGTTTTCCATTTTCATTTTCCATTTTCCCCCCTTTCCCATTCTCATTTTCACATTTCATTCTCCTTTTCTCCTCTCCCCTATTTTCATTCCTCTCCCCATTCCCTGCTCCCTTCCTGATCCCCCTTCCCTCCCCCTTCCCCCCTGCTTCCTCTCCCCGTCTCCCCCGTTTCCTCCCCGTTCTCAACCCCCTCCCCGTTCCCATTCCCGTCCCCATGCCGGGCCCCCGGGGGGCGCGGGCCGGGCTCCGGGGCGGCGGGTGCGGGGCGCGGGCCGCGCCGGGGGGGTGCCGGGCCCCCGCTTAGCCGGGCCGCCCCCCCCCCAGCCTCCAGGAGCCATTTTGTGTCCCCCCCCCGTCCCGGATCCCCTTTGCCCAGGTAGGTCGGGCTGGGAGGGGGCTCGCCAGGGCCCCCCCCGCCCCTCACGCAGCATTTTTAGACCCTTTTTGGGGGCTAAACCCGCGTTTTTCACCCCTTTTTCTCTCTCCCCCCCCCCCCCCCCCCATCCATCCATCCCTCCATCCAGCCGGGCCGGGAGCAGGGGGGGGCCCTGAGCCACTTCTTCCTTAGGACGCCGCCATCCCCAGATGATGGTGAATGATGAACGTGCCACACCATGAAGCTCTTGTGGCAGGTAACTGTGCACCATCACCACCACCACCGCCACCGCCGCTGCCGTGCCTGGAGAGCTGCTCTCATCTCCTACTTGACGGTGCACGCCTGGATCCTCTACGTGGCCGTTGCCACTGCTGCCGCCTCCCCTGGAGCCCCCGCTTGCCCCTCGGTTTGCTCCTGCAGTAACCAGTTGAGCAAAGTGGTGTGCACCCGGCGCGGCTTGGCCGAGGTGCCCCCCGGCATCCCCTCCAACACCCGGTACCTCAACCTGATGGAGAACAACATCCAGATGATCCAGGCGGACACGTTCCGCCACCTGCATCACCTGGAGGTCCTGCAGTTGGGCAGGAACGCCATCCGGCAGATCGAGGTTGGGGCTTTCAACGGGTTGGCCAGTCTCAACACCTTGGAGCTCTTTGACAACTGGTTGACCGTCATCCCCAGCGGGGCCTTTGAGTACCTGTCCAAGCTGAGGGAGCTGTGGTTGAGGAACAACCCCATCGAGAGCATCCCCTCGTACGCCTTCAACCGGGTGCCCTCCCTCATGCGCCTGGACCTGGGCGAGCTCAAGAAGCTGGAGTACATCTCTGAGGGGGCTTTCGAGGGCTTGTACAACCTCAAGTACCTCAACCTGGGGATGTGCAACATCAAGGACATGCCCAACCTGACGCCCTTAGTGGGGCTGGAGGAGCTGGAGATGTCGGGCAATAACTTCCCCGAGATCAAACCGGGCTCCTTCCACGGGCTCAAGTCCCTCAAAAAGCTCTGGATTATGAACTCGCAGATCAACCTGATTGAGCGCAATGCCTTCGACGACCTGACGGCGCTGGTGGAGCTCAACCTGGCCCACAACAACCTCTCCTCCCTGCCCCATGACCTCTTCGCCCCTCTGCGGTACCTGGTGGAGCTTCACCTTCACCACAACCCTTGGGACTGCGACTGCGACATCCTCTGGCTGTCGTGGTGGTTGAGGGAGTACATCCCCACCAACTCGACGTGCTGTGGGCGCTGCCATGCCCCGCTCCACATGCGGGGCCGGTTCCTGGTGGAGGTGGACCAAACCTCCTTCCAGTGCTCGGCGCCCTTCATCATGGACGCGCCCATGGACCTCAACATCTCCGAGGGGCGGGTGGCCGAGCTCAAGTGCCGAACTCCTTCCATGTCCTCCGTTAGGTGGTTGCTGCCTAACGGGACGGTGCTGAGCCACGCGTCCAACCACCCGCGCATCTCTGTCCTCAACGACGGCACCTTGAACTTCTCCCACGTCCTGCTGACGGACACTGGGGTTTACACCTGCATGGTGACCAACGTGGCGGGGAACTCCAACGCCTCGGCCTACCTCAACGTGAGCACGGCCGAGCTCAACACCTCCAACTACAGCTTCTTCACCACCGTCACGGTTGAGACCACTGAGATCTCCCCGGAGGACATCTCCCCTAAGTTCACCAAGCCCGTCCCCACCACGTCGACGGGTTACCAACCAGCGTACACCACCACCACCACCGTCCTGGTGCAGACCACGCGCCCACCCAAGCAGGTCGCCATCCCCACCGCTGACGCGGGCGACAAGACGCAGACCAGCTTGGACGAGGTGATGAAGACCACCAAGATCATCATCGGCTGCTTCGTGGCGGTGACGCTCTTGGCTGCGGCCATGCTCATTGTCTTCTACAAGCTCCGCAAGAGGCACCAGCAGCGCAGCACCGTGTCGGCCGCGCGCACCGTGGAGATCATCCAGGTAGACGAGGACATCCCGGCCGCCACCACCACCACCACTGCCACCATGGTGACCACCACCACCGCCGGCATTGCAGGTGAGGGGGCTGTGGTGCTGCCCGCTGTTCATGACCACATGAACTACAACACCTACAAAGCACCGCATGGGGCCCATTGGACCGAGAACAACTTGGGCAACTCCTTGCACCCCCCCGGGAGCACCCTTATGGAACCCTACATCATCCAAACCCACCCCAAGGACAAAGTCCAGGAGACCCAAATATGACTTTTTAGTTCTTTGGGGCTTTTTTGGGTTGAGCTTCCCCCCACCCCTCCCCTTTTTCCTCCTCCTCCTCCCCCATCACAAACGCAATAGGATGCACAACCCCCCCCCCCAAAGACCCCCCCAAAAGACCCCCACAAATGAAGAACCCCCCAAATCTAGAAGGTGACTCTTGTACAGAGCTGGGGGAGAGACTTTTCTTTTCTTGTACATGCTTCTATCCGAAATCCACGGGCTGAGAAGAGCAGCAGATACTAAAATCATGCCCCCCCCCCCCCCCCCCCCCAAGTCACAGTTTCTAACTCCAAGAGAAAAGGGAGAGGAAAGAATTCCCGTTATCGAGGAAGAAGTTGGG